GGAAGAGAGGCCGGGAGAGCCACCCTTGCCTAGCCTGGAGCAGAGGTGGCATCGGGGTGGCCTAGCAGCAGCCCCTGGTGCTTCCCCGAGGATGCGGAGGAGATGGAGCCAGGCCTTGATGGGGCGCGTGGCGGGCGGGCGAGCAAGAGGCCTTAGCTGGAACCAGAGAGGTTCAGGGTGGATTTAGGGGAAAACTTTCATTGCGGGCAGCGTTGGACCTTGGAAAAGATTGTCCTGAGAGGCTGTGCCGTCTCTCCAGCTCTGAAGAGTTTCAGTAACTGGTGGGATAAGTCTTGGGCAAAAGCCACCGTTTGATTTTGTAGTTGCCTCTGCTTTAAGGGGGGAGGGGTGGTCTAAATGGCTTTCTAAGGCCCTTTTAAACATGAATTATCCACTGAATCTATATAAATACTGGATTTTTTTACTCTTATATGTGTGTTTGAACTAATAGTGTGGTTTGGCCTGGTCCAGGTATTCAAAAGTGTTGTGGTCCTTAGTAGTCTTAAAAACTTTTTTTTTTTCCTAAAATATCTGAAGTTATTATTGGTCAGATTTTAAAGAATGACCTGACAACTGAGTAGTCTGCATTAATTTTCAGAGTAATCAGCCAAAATGACGAACACAAAGGGGAAGAGGAGGGGGACGCGTTACATGTTTTCAAGGCCATTCCGCAAGCATGGTACGTACCTGTTGTAATAAATATACTGTATTAAGTTATTAACCTCATTTGTTAGATGTCAATCATCCTTGTGTAGCATATGGAAAACATTGGCTTATAACAAAGGATATCTAATAGCTTGGACCAAAAAAAAACCCTAAAAATAAAACAACTTTAGTAGTAGGTCTTATATATTAGCATTGTGATTTTGTAACAGTACTGTACTGGTACCAGCAGTACTGCTTCTGTCATTTGCTGATTTGTTTACTTCAATATGAATTTGAAGAGTGAAGTGCGAGCAATTCAAAATAGTCATGTATATTTGTAATGTACGGTTTTCCTCTTAGCAGTAAAGAAGTAGTAAATAGTTGTCTTACGCGTTAAGAAAGAGAATAAATCTGTTAGTATTTCAGAGTTGCTTCTCAGGAAATATCTCTTACCTGCTTTCTTTATTTTTTTTTGTTTTTTTTAATTATTTGGTAATGCGTGGGGAGTGTTACTGGGGGAAAAAATGTCTCAGCTTTGCCTATCTTAAATTTAAATCTGAAAGTTTTTAATGAAAGATCATCAGATGCATAGCCTTCCTTTTGCAAGCCTGATAAATACCCAAATTTGTATGTCTTAACAGGCGTTGTCCCTCTGGCCACCTACATGCGCATCTACAAGAAGGGCGATATTGTTGACATCAAGGTACCGTCCGCGGTGCAGTGTAATCATTTCCAGTTCCTGCTTGCTTGATGTAGCTTTTCCTGTTCGTATCGCACCTCACCCGAAGTAATTTTTGAAACAATATTGGAATAAAAGTGCTGCTGAAATGACAGTAACATATGCTGTTGTATGTGCGAGAAACGCATGCTCTGGTACTACATGCTCAGCTGAGCAAATCAAGTGCAGAATGCTATTACATGATGGTGCTACTGTGTGGTGCCTGTTAGCACTGTCTACACAGTGAAACCAGCCATCATTCTGGTCTATGTTAACTTGGAAGAGCTGTGGTCTGTGGCATGATAGCAGTTGCTAAAATAAATACATATATGGAAGCTATATTAAACTAGAAGACACAAGATACACATGAAGAGAGAGCATATACGATATTACAGAAAAATAAGTGCAGCATTTTTTATCTCAATTATGTGATATTTTCTAAAAGTGCTTGTTTAAAAATAACTGTACTTTCAAAATTAAATTGTACTGAATCTTAAAAGTGTTTTATTGAGAAATTGAGGAATCAGACTTTGAAGCATTTAGTTGCATTAGTTTCATTTGAGGAAAAAAAAACCCCACACTTTGCACGATTGCTCAAATCTGTGGGGTTTTTTTTTTTTTTTGGCTTGTTTTGCTTTGTTTTGTTTTGCTTTTGGAGAACTACCTTGATCAAGAATTAACGTTTCCTGACATTCTGGAGCTTGATGATGATTGTCTCCTATGATTGCTTCACTAAAAGTAAAGTGATCAAATCATTTCACCGGCACTGAAAGCAACCAGAACTGTCGTAGGAGAATTTGATAGTCTTCAGGTATAAAATGTGCTGTTACAAATTTAAAAATATGGATAAGAAAGGATTACTTCAAAATCAGTCTCACATAGATGTGTGCTTTCCACTAATTTCTGAAATACAGGCTCTTAGGGCTGCTTCTGTTTTCTTCTGAATTAAAGCTTACACTTCATTCTTGTTTTAACTTTCAACAGGG